AGGTGGGGGTTAGCACCTCCACAGAAATAGCCGATAACACATACGGACGAGAGCACAGAACGGTGGGGTTTGCCCGTTCTCGCGACAGGACAGACAATAAGTTCCGCCTAGGTGTTAATTAAGGACACAATTAGGAAAGACCGATAAGTTTCCGTCTAGTTGTTAAGGACACAATTAAGAAAAACCGATTAATTAAAATTAGGTGCCTGACCAGAGATCGTCACTGTCCCTTTCCCAGGGCGCAGTGAGGACCTCCGGAGACTTCCCGCGAAATACCAGAGTGGCGGATATAAAGTTAGAACGCGTGCGGGAGCACTGGGTCGCTCAGTATGCTAGGTTATGAAGAGAGGGTCGAAGTTCTTTTAGTGTGGTCGGTCCCCGATAGCGTCGGAAGGTTGGTAGGGTAGGGTGATCGATAGCAGATCAGGTCGATAGAGGCGAGAGCGATCGGTAATTAGATAGCGGTAGAACGCCGATAGCTGCCGATATGCGCTAGCATCGCGAGAGCTCTAGGTATAGGTATACCTCCTACTATAGTCTGTTTGCTCAGCCTCATGGCTGTAAGAGAGATAGCGATAGATAAAGCGATATGGCGGGCTATATAGCCACACTAATCATCGAGAGCTACGGGCTGTCAGAGCCCGGGGCCGAGTGGCCCGTGAGAGTGCCGGAGCAACTCTGCCGTGTGGAGTGGAGAGTGCTCCCTAGTAGGTCTGCTCCCCACTCCCGACTCACGCGGCTGGAGTGCGTGGGGGATTGTCCGTGGTTCTTATCATCACCGTGAGGATATCCCTCCCGGTAACGTTTCCTGGAGCGCGCCGAATTCAAATGTCCCCAACCAGGCTGTCCAGTTAACCCTTTATATGGACCCCTGGCCATTTGAATGCCCGCCCCGCCTAACGTGGAACAGTTTTCTGGAGTGGAGACCCAAGTGTTCCGAGAGAGGAGTCTCATTGGGAGCTGAGGTTCAGTACTATAACCTCAACTCGCCACGCGTAGGGAATTAGCAGACTCAATCGATGCGGCAGAGAGCGTGATTTATCCCAGTAAATATTTTCCATTATTATTAACAAAAAAAAATAAATAAATCCCCTTAAATCAACTTTCTCGGTGGTTGAGCCACCAACCGAGCGCGTCTCCGGGTGGTGGATAGCAGGGCGGCCGGGCGGAATAACCACCTCGGCGGAGGCCGGGACCAGGTAAAAACCAGGTTAATGGGGACATAAGGCCGAACGAAACGTGGGAAACAACAAGGGAAGCCGAAAAACCTCATCGCGAACCAGCTCCCCCAAGCTACGGTGTATGATACCGTGCCAATGGCTGCATGGTGCAGGGGAAGTTGCATCGCAAACGGTTCCCTCGGATACCAGGCGACCTCCGAGCGTAAATAGCCAAGCCCCAGGCATACACGGCTCTGCCGGGGTGATACCGTATCACCGTGGTACTCATGGGACTTATGTGGATACCGGGAAACAAAAAGAAATAGAAAAATCACCTGGGACGGAAGAACCCCAAGGCCAGAATACTGGACCTGGTGGAGAACAACCCAGGATGAGAAAACGAAGTGGCGCGGCAAGGCGTCGGTTCCAGAAGGAGAGAAAGACTAACCTAGTACTCCTTCTGGGACAAACAAGGGTGAGGGTAAGGGCGAGGGAATGTCAAGGGGAGCAGCCACGAAACGGCTAAAACCTGATGGCACCCCAAGCCCATACAACGCGCCACCGGAGAAAAGGCCCAAGACTGACCTTGGCACCTACGCTCAGGTCGCAAAGAAAATGATCAGGTGAGCTCTCGTCCCAGAGAACTCCCCAGATCGAAAAATCATACCTGAAGAAATCAAGGGCCTGAAGGGACTGCTTAAGTCCCAGATCCTCTCCCTACCAGAGAGGACTAAGGCATCTACTTTTGAAGGTGTATGGGAGAGGGACGGGGCAGCCATTGTTGGCTGTACCGATAAACAAACGGTGAACTGGCTGAAAAGACTGTTCCCCGAAAACAAAATTGGGGACCTCGTCCTCATGGTGATGCCACCGGAGGAGCTACCGAAGCGACACCGGGTGGTAGTTCACCTTGGGAACGAGGACGTCACCGCCCATGAGGCAATCGTGCTCATGAGACGACAGTTGTAAGTGGCCAGTATTGGGGAATTTCCCACGCCCCCTCCCCCCTTTTTTTCCAGGAAATGGACGTGCAGGTGCAGGTGTGCCCCCCAGGGGGTATTATGTGGATGTGCGTCTGGACACGTTCACCCCCTTTGTCCTCTGACAAAGGGAAATTGACTTTAAATTGCGGATGCGCGCGCCTTTGTTATAATTTCCTTAAATAATGCGTAATTTTGGTCAATAGACTTCCGGTCTAAGCGTGATCCCTGGTTTTTCCTTAAAGATTACATAAGTACAATAGACATCCGGGGGAAATTGAGTGGATGGGAAAGGGTGGAGGTTTTGTAAATTATTAACACGAGAATTATGAATGACTTTTTTTCTTTAATTGATTAGAAAATTATGAGCTACAGTTTTTACAGTGCAACATATTTAAAAGTATACGCACATATAAAATTATAATATCATCGTTATCTTAGGTACAATTTTCTAGTATGAGGGCATTCGGTATGGTCCTCCGGCAAAACCATCTAGCTCGTCATAACATAAATGATACAGCTCGCCAAATAATTGATATAAATATCCCAAATTGGCATCAGGTTTTGAGCGCTGAAGGTCATCTCTGACCAGCAGATATATCTCCTCGAAATTATTTCCGATTCGATGGTGCAGTTCTTCAGTAACAGGCATTCTATTGTAGGCCATGTAACTCATTGTAACACGTGTAATGCCCTTGACAAGAGACTCCTTGTATTCTCTCAAAGGTAGTGAATCCAAGAAATCCAGCCACTGGGTGATCCATACAGCTTTGGTTTTTAATGTTTCAAAACTAGGTTTCATCATAATGAGAAGATTTTTTCCCCATCACGTACGAAGGTCGCACAGAGTTTTTCAAAACTCTGGTGGAATCTCACTGTCAGCCCCCCAAATTGCTTTGCAGGTACATTGTGTATGACGTTTGGGTGAAACTTCGTTCTATCAAAATACTCCGTAATTGAAGTCATGTCCTTGTACAGTAGACCCCATTCATCCCGTGACATTGAAATCGTTGAACGGTTCGGACGCACCCCCATAAATTGCACCACCGGAAGGAACTCTCTGACACAGGTCACTTCAAGACCGACACGTATCTGTTTAGTCCCTGATTTATTGAGGGGGAAAACTTGTGACAATAATACCTGCTGTTCGACAGATATGGTCTTTTTAGCGCTATTGATCTCCATTGTCACGATCTCGTAGAGCAATATCACAAAGATTGAATAAAAAATACCACGTACGCGCGTGCTTTATAGCGTCAGCCGCGGGAGCGGGGAGAACAAGACCGATGCGTACGCGCTCGTGAGTGGTGCATATGCGGTCACATGTTACCTCCGCTACGCTGCCATATCCCCCACTACCGGTGCATGGAGGGCCTTATAATATGAACCGCTGAATTGGATGCTTTTAATACGTAGGTTTTTTTTTGAAAGTATTTGCAATGTCGGAAGGCAGAACCATGGAATTATTCGATAAATATCTTGCGCAATGCTCTCCAAACGACAATTACAAGCAAGATGAAAAACCAAAGATTGTTCTGAAGAGTAATAGGGTTATTATTCATAAATATTCAGACTATGAAGCCTATATTCGTCGGAAATATCGGAAGATTGCTTCAAAAAACACAGTAACATATGAGGTGGATGATGAACCTTTCGACGATGAGTGTGACTGTGCACGTAAGAGGAAAAGTAAAACGGGAAATAAAATACACATCAAGCATAGGAGAAATGAATTATATCATCTGGAGAAAAATGAAGTGGCAGTATACACAAATTTTCACGTTTGCTATAACGAAGAACCAGCTGAATCCAATGAAAAAATAGCAGAAAGTTTTCAAATTGCTAGTAATGCACCTTCATTGAAAAGCATAGCCATTGCTAGCTTATTAAATGAACGAAAATACGCAAAAAATGACAAGACTTTGCATTTTGTGAAAAAAGCAATGCTGTGGAATAGCGATGTATTATAATATAAAATGAGGAAACAGGGCGCACATGTTTTCGATGGATTAGAATTGACAAAATTGTATAAGGCAAACGTAGGTGAACAATTCAGACCCATCCAATTGTTCCGAGAGTGTAGTGAAGAATATTATTTCCCTGCGGGGGAGGAAACACTGATCTATAAGCATAATCAGCCAATCCCAGATCTTTCTTCGTAGCAGTGTGCCAATGCAAACGAGGATGTCAGGGTAAAGAAAACTGTAAAGTCTTTCTTATAGGTCATTATGACCACACCCTCCTGCGATTTTCAATGCTAGGAAAATCTGTAGAGCAACCCCGCCTGCGCTCTATATAAAGGCCTTGTAAAGGAAAATTTAACACCATTTGTATTTCCGCATAAAATGTCTTCAAGTCAAGTGACTTCCAATTCTCGGAACAGTGAGTGTGCAACGTATCGTACAGGCTACATACCTGGTACGTTTAAGGAAAAAATACCGCGTAAAGCAGTGATATCGGACAAAAATAAAGTGTTGAAAATAGTGTGTGACCAATCAGTGACTAATAGTGATGAAGCCGCACATATTACAAAAATGTTGAAACAATTAAAATCGCGGGAAAAAAAACGCAATCGTTCTAGTGGAGGCAATAAAGCAAAAAGTGACATTAATCCGACCAGTGCTAAGGATAAAAAAATGTGGATGAGTATGCTTGAGGACAACCTCGAAATGCAAGCCCTACACAAAAAACGGGATCGAAAATCAAGGAAAATCGGTCGATCAAAAAAGAATTATGGCGGCGTGATGAACGGTTAAAAATCGCGGAAAAGAAGAAAGCAGAATTTAAAGCTCGCGTGAAACGGCTCAAAATCGCGGAAAAGTAGAAAACCGCATTTAACGCAAGGGAAAAACGTATACTGATGGCCCGTGAGAAACAAAGACAATTTCGTGAGCGCGAGTTGGAGAAGAAACGTTTTCAATCGTCACAGGAGTCCCCCGATATGTTTGAGGATATACAATTGCCACTGGATATTATCCCGATGACTCCAGAAACTCCAGCAATAAGTAATTTACTACTGGAATATGAGGGGGATGCTGCTCAGGATGGCTCATGGAATAAACCATCTTTCACCTCTCAAGGTAAATATCTGAAATAGATTCACATAGATTTTTCGCGGCTTTCAATGTTAATTATTGGGAAAATGTCTTTTCTTGTTTCAGGCAGACGAAAGACTACACAGGAGCTCGAGGCTATGTTAACGGAAGTTTCTGCAGATCTTGAAAAAAAAAAGGCCAAGCCGATGCTATCTCAACGTCAGCAGCAAATTGCAGACATTGATAGAGAGTTGGCAAAGAGCGCGAGCGATGACGAATTTGCCCATCAAACCCTCGATTTTGATCCACTGTCTCCGCGTATGCTTTCCGACTAAAAATTTAAGCGTTTTTCGAAAACTTTGTAACCTTCATGTATCTTTAAATAAACAATTTATACATTTTCAAATAAAAAAAAACAGTTTACCCTTCGTTAAATGTACCCGAAGTTCTCTTTCCTACACCACACCTTTCCCTTGAGTTTGGAAAACTTTCCCTATCCGTGTCTTCCTCTTTCACCTGCTTTCTACTCTGACGATCTCTTTCCTCCTCACTGTCTAAAAAAACGAAAAACGAAAAACGAAAAGGGTATTTTGCTCTTTCCTTATCTTTCTTCCATTTTCTTCCTTGAACGTCTTTTTCTTTTTTACAATGTAGAAGGGAATTTTTCCCTGTCCTTATCATTATCCTGTTTTTTTC